ATAAAGAATTTCTAGTAGAATTAGGCCAAAGTTACAGTTGAAGATCTGGGGGCAATAGCACCACACCTAGTGTACCATACTGTGATTTTAAGTATCTATTTTAGTAACTTCTGTTCAGTTTTCAGTTTTTACAACCAACACTGAATTAATGAATATAGTTGGGAGAATCCCTTTACTAACAGGCTTAATGAATGGCAAGGTATGAAAATCAAGGCATATCAAAAACAAATTGGATGTTTTGGGCTTGGGGGCAAGAGGAAATATGTAACACTCTTCTGCACTTTTTGGAGGGGCTAGAACAGCTTAAGACAGTTGCTCTGTCCTGAAAGTTTTCCTCATATGCTTAAGAAAAATTTGATGTATAACTGAGATTGTATTCATTTCAGATATACAACATAACAATTTGATATCTGTATATCCTCACACACTTTTAAGTTAAGAAAACACAAACAAATCCAAGAAATTGGACAAATTCACTTCCTCCTTGATAAGGGAAGGAAACAAAGAGGAGGCATTGTGCTAAGCAGTGGCCTTGGCGCTTTCAAAATATTTAACTTTCCAAACACAACAACCCAGCAAGATAAGAATCATTACCCCCACTTTAACGAATGAGGCCTACACAATGCTGTTAATTTGCCCCAAGGCAAAAAAGGTAGACTAGCAGCCTGGCACCAGAGTCCATGTTCAATTCCAGTCCATCATAGAACAGAGTAAGACAAAATTAGGGACCATCATTTAGATATACACAGAAGCAGAGTAGGAAATATACATGCATAGAGATAGACCCATAGAAAATGAGGAAAATTTGATCTAATAAGGTAATTTTAAAATGTAAAATTTTACATTTGTCAAATACTATTTTACCAGGATTTTGAAAGGTCAATTCTACCACTGTCAAAAAATGGAATCACTTCTGGGAAATTACCTGGAGAGTTAAATGAAATTCACCTGAAGAACTGAGCTATTACACTCCAAATTTACTCGGTTCAATTGGACTTATTAGCATATGAAAGGCCTACAAGATTTTTAAGACAGATGGAATTAAAATCTAGGTAAAAGTACAGCATTCATCTATAGACAAGCTTAATGAAGCTTGGTCAAAACAGGAAGAAAACAAACTGCTTTATCAATTGCCAAGCAAATAAACAATTCATTTTCCACTGCAGACTTAACCCTTGGCTGGGTTCTTCACATAAAAGAGGCAGCAAACAAAAAAATTTAAAAAATTAAAAAAATAAAAAAGAGGCAGCAAACATGGGAATCTAGATTATAGGATCCCCTAGATTGTAAGGCTCAGAACATTAAATATGATTGAATTTGTCTAAGTAAATTTTATTATTATTTTTTAAAGATTTTATTTATTTGAGAGAGCAAGCATGAGCAGGAGGAAGGGGCAGAGGGAGAGGGAGAAGCACACTCCCCACTGAGGAGGGGGCCTGATACAGGACTTGATCCCAGGATTCTGGGATCATGACCTGAGCCAAAGGTAGACCTTTAACTGACTGAGCCACCCAGGCACCCCATCTAAGTAAATTTTAAAAAGCACAAGATTTATTGCAGATAGCATCAAGTCAGAATATTCATTCAGTAAATTAAATTGACCAATGAAAATGAAATGTTTTCAAGTCCCAGTATGTAAAGTGCATTTAAAAAAAAAAAATCCATGAGTCTCCAAGATTCTGACTGATAAACTGGCAGAATGGATAATATTTTAAGATTAAAAAGTCACTACAGCAATAAACTGGAAAAAATAAACCCCATCCCTTCCCACTATGATCAACACTTAAATATAAATCCAAGTCAGACTTTCTTATCCTTGGCAATCTTCAGAAGGTAAACCGATGCTTGAGAAATTGACCAAATGTGGAGAACGCCAGCTCTGGGCACATCTCTGTGCTCTAGCCTTTGGAAGAGCAGGCAGAAAGGAATTTATCAGTACAGTATTTTAAAAAACTGCCTCTCCTGACCCATTAATCAATTTAGTGGGCAATGACATGCTTTTTCATTCTTTTCTTCCCTTCTTTTTTGTTGGTAGGGGGGAGCATGACACTAATCCTGTGATTGCCTCTTATGAGAAAAAAGTGATTCTGCTTGTTTCTTAAAATTGATCCTGAATTAACTGAGAAACACATCAGAGTAATAATCTAGATCAACAAAGCTGATTATATGGAAAACAACCATAGTTTTATCTCTGCTTGGGATAGTGAAGCACCTTCACATTCCCAACAGAAATTCCTTTATCAAGGAGGCCTCCAAGAGTACTTTTTTACTTTGTGCCAAGGGCTACAAGTCCTAGGTTCCCACACTCCTAGCAGGTTTCTGCCTTTACTTTTCTTATCAGTGATTTCAGGATCCCCATAAACTATGACATTCTAGGTTTAAGGAAAATAAAAAACAACTTCCCCTGAGGAAACAATGTCTATTCTAAATTCTAGTGGTACAAATAAAAAACATAAAGACGTCACTAAAAAACTTCATTTTATGTTGCTTATTTAGAAAGCAAAGAATAGCTTAGTATTGTTACTTATTACCTAAAGGCAGTTAATTCCCGCATATATTCCTCCCCCCACACAGCTGAGGAATGTTCTAAAGGATGAGGACCTTGACCTTTTTTTGCCATATCCAGGTGCTGTCTATATACTTAATATATGTGACACGTTTAATGTGTTACCCACACACAGTTTTTTCTAAGATGCCACAAAATAAGTGCATTACTCTTAAAATTAAAAGTGCTCTCTACCAACCACTAGGGAAGCACGGGCTAAGGAATGATCAACAAAAAAACCTAGCTTTAATAAAAGGCAACTATATGATCCTGATGGGGACCAGCTAATTCACCGGTGCCAATGGTCCTTCACCTTGCTTCTGAATGGAGCCTGTTTTAAGGAAGCTATTCTTCTTACCTAAGAAGTTAGTAAATTAGGAGTTGAAAGCTAAAGTTTATTTATTCTCAGTTACTAATTAAGAGCATCAGATTATCTCAATTTACTAAAATCTAAATACAAATCATGTGTTCCAGTTTACTCCAAGTCTTAAATTTACATGTCAATAAGGATAAGCAGAGCAAGGGGTATTTACTACATTCTGAATAGAATGCCTAGCAAACAAACAGAATTCCATTATCAGGTGACTGATTCTTTTCCTTAAAGAAAACAGGCAACTTTAATACTTAAGTTTGTAGCTTATGAAAATTTCCCACATCATTTAGCCAAACTACTTGCTCTTTGTGCTTCAGTTTCATCTGTGAAATGAGAATAATAGTATATATGCTGCATAGGGTTGTTATGATGATTGAGTTAATACACATAAACTGCTATTTGATGCTAATTATCACTAGAAAGCAGTGCCTCACTAGTTCAGGTCAAAAACACCCTCACTCTTTTGACACTGCTCTATATTCTAGAAAACACAGTAACCATACAGAACCAGGATTGAGAAAATTACTTGAAGAATATTCGGCAAAGCCATCCTCTCCCAGTTCCAGAATCATCCGCTGTTTCCACCTCTCCAAGTAGAAAATCTGTTCTGATGTCATGGTCTGCTGAAGGATCTTGGTCACACTTGGTATGGTATTTCTTTGCAAAGGGATTCTCAAAGGAATTGTAGGAGTGCTTGTTGCATTTGGTTTTACGCTTCTCTCTGGAATTAAGAGAGGACACCAGTTTCGTGGAGCTTTTGCTTCCTCATCTTGCTTTTGGGGCTTACACTTACTCACAGGTCCATAGAGTAAATTATCTTCCTCAAACAATGATTCTGGAGTCTGAGCAAGGCCTCTGGATGACAAGACAGATTGTACTAAATCAGAGTACTTTTCCTGGTCTACTTCTTTATAAGGGTTCACTTTTTTCTTCCGGCTACAAAAGTAAGAGGAAGTGGAAAAATCCACATGGGCGGTTGGTTCTAGAGAAAACCCCTTCGAACTTCTGAGCTGTCTGCAGATGGTCTGAAAAGCCTTCATTTTTAGATGCTTTCTCACTTCCCTCTAGGCTACTTGCAATGTTGAGGGGCTTTTATTTTTGCACTCCTAGTAAAGAGAAAAGTGGAGTTAGATACCAATGTATTAAATATTTGAACGGCTAAAATGTAAGCTGCATCGGTACGAAAAGGCGCATTAACCTGCATTCCATTAAGCTTTTTCAACATGTTTGGACAAAGCTATTTCCAAAGAAAGACTCTCTTCAATAGCCAGAACGACCAGCACTTGTTAAATGTGAAATAGTACAGCTTGGGGCAAGACGTCCCCAATATTCAATCAGAAGAATTGGGAAGCCTAGGAGGGGAGGCATGATTGAGACAGAAAAACAGAACGCTACAACCCGTCCTATACCGGCCACGACGGTCACGGTGAACCACTGATTCCTAGATACCAGGCTCCCTGCTAAGTATTCCAGGAGAAGACTTCTCACTTAACTCTCACACCCTTTAAGGTGGTTACTTCTGCGACACCGTTTTACAGACGTGGAAATTGAGCTTCTGAAGGGTCCCACCAGGAAAGAGCGGGTAAGCAGTGGTCAGCGGGGCCCATCATCGTGATCCCCAGAAGGGGGCCTCCCGCTCCGCCATACGTGGGGAAACACGGTGGGGACAGGACGGCTGGGGCCCCTGGTGTGGGAGTCAGGATTAGGAAGAGATGGCTTAAACAGAAGCCCAGCTCACGGCCCGGATAGATACCTCAGGAGCCACCAGACTTCACTCAACTGCCAGAGCGCCGTCAACCTCTCGGGACCCGTACTTTCCTCGCTCCCGCGCTCTGATCTCGAGTTAGGCTCCGCCTAAGGAGCGGTGGTCCCGGCATGCATTGCGGCGCCGCTACCTCTCCTTCACTGCTACTGACACTCCCGAGATCCTTGGGGAGTCCCTCCCCTCGGGCGTTAGCGCGGGCTCCTCCAAATCGCGCCCTTACGCTCTCACGATATCTTGTTTACGTCACAGCCTGTCGCCATCTTGGACTCTGGCTGAGTAATAAATTGCCCCGCACGAGAGCGCGGGATTTCTTGAGACGGGCGTTGCTGAGAGTACTCGTTGTTCCGAGTCCTTGTTGCGGCCCTGGGATCGGCCGTTTCCGCGTGGCCCGGAGCGAGGGTAGGCCACGCGTAGCTTTTTTGCCCGGCTCCAAGATGGACGGCAGCGGGGACGGGGGAGGCCGTTCTGGGGGAGCACGTGGCGCGCTGCTGGCCTTTCCCGGGGCTGCTGGGATGGTGGCGGAGTTCGGAGGCCTCCCGCCGCCGTCGGGCAGGGAGGCTGGCGGAGGCGGGGCCGCGGCCGCCCCTGAGAGGCGCCCCGGAGGCGGCGGCGGCCCAGCTTCTTCTTTCCTCGCACAGCCAGAAGGCCGCCGCTCGAGGCCCGCGTCGCCATGGCCGCGGTTCCCGAGTTGCTGCAGCAGCAGGAGGAGGACCGCAGCAAGGTGAGGCCCTCCTCGCCCTCATGCCCCAGGACGGGAGGCCCCGCCGACCTCCCGGAGCCCCACATTCCTTCCCGTATTCCTCAGGGGCCACTTCTGCAGTTCTCTTTCCCCGCGAAATCCACCCCCCCCCCCCCGCCACGCGGAGACACCCGCTGGACCCCTTGTGCCCTTTGCTTCCTCCTTTTTGAGGGCTGCGGACCCAAGACGAGAGCAAGCGTCGCGGGGCCGGTCCTGGTAGCACGCGTCGGCGTGTCCGGTACCGAGGGCGCGCGGCGAGTCTCTGGAGCTTTTCTCTGGAGACTCGAGAAAGTACTCTCACGTAAAAAGTTGTGAGAACTCTGGCTTTGTAAAGATTTGACGGTGAACGTGAAATCCACTTGACATGGAGTAAATGGTGTATTTTGGTTTTGTTGCCTTCGAACTGTACCCCCCCCCCTTTTGGCCCATATACTGAGGAAATTCCATCAAGTCAAATCTGAAGCATGTTCTTTAGAACTTTATAAACGCCAAATGCGTCACTGCGGGAATTGTCATTTTTAGTAGGTACTCAAATACTTGTTAAACTTAAGTTTTGCCCTCCAAAAACTTGCGTGTTTATGTAAGCTAGCCCTAGGCTTCATAAATCTTGAGGTCTAGAAACTAACGCAGTAAGTTCAGGTTATCTTTCATTGGTCGTTTACACTTGTTTCGCAATTCATAGAGGTGGGTTCGAGCCACAAGGTTAAGTGCCGAATCATCACCGTGAAAGTTTTTCTGACAGAAAATAAAATTTAAGAATACAAAGCTCTCTCAAGTGTAAGTAACCTGGAGGGCATCTTACAGAATTCCGTCTACTTAGAAGTCAAAGGCAGCCTTTGATCCACACAGCACGTGTGGAGAGCCTTTTTTTCATCTAGGAAGTACCGAAGTTAACACACAGCTAGCTGGATTCTTCCAACAAGGGTATCATTGCTGCGTTAGTTATTGAAATGCAACTTTGTGAGGTAGGGTTCTTGATTTTTTATTTTTTGAGAGTTGAAGTGGTTTTTTTTTTTTTTTAACTAAAAGTGGGAGCTTGATCATGATTCTTCTTAGAATACTATAGACATAGTTTTCTCTATAGAAGTTTAGATGCTGAATAGGAATTTTGACAGCAATTTGACGAGCCCCCCCATCTGGTACCTCATCTCTTGATCCAGAATCTGTTTTATACAGCTATTTAAAAGGACTTAACTCCTTCAACTGACCTTCTCATGTTACTGCACTATATTGTAGCGGGCTTTTAAAGTAATTTTCCCACCACTCTGAACTCCATGGAGGATTATAAAGGCTATTCCCTGCCAGTTTTAGCGGATACAGGAAAGGATTATACAGCATTATTAAGTTACAGAAATCAGGAAATAAAAAAACTTAATAAAATACTACTCTAACTCATGGCTTTGTTTTACCCTTTTTTTTTTTTAAAGATTTTATTTATTTGAGAAAGCCACAGGCAGGGGGAGGGGCAGAGGTAGAAGGTGAACAGACTCCCTGCTGAGCAGGGAGCCCGATGTGGGATTCACCGGGACCCTGGGATCATGACCTGAGCCGAAGGCAGACGCTTAACCGGCTGAGCCACCCAGGCACCCTCATTTTGCTTTCTTATGTCTGTGATGCTAGCCCTGTGCTATGGATTGAGTCTAGGTGGTTTTCACTGTTAAGCAAAAGGGAGTTTGGGACAAATGTGAAATAACAGGAAGTCAAATCTTGGGCAAACTATTTTCTTGCCATAATATAGCTTTTAGTCAAGTGAAGTATTTTACATTTTTACAGAAAATGTTTTAAGTGTAAACCTCCCACTTAGGGATTTACATGAGGATAAGGGTTCGTGGGGTTTAGGTCCACTAGTAAAGTAGGGAACGTAATTGACTCTTGAGGATTTTTTTTTTTCAAGATTTTATTTATTTATTTGACAGAGACATAGCGAGAGGGGGAACACAAGCAGGGAGAGTGGGAGAGGGAGAAGCAGGCTCCACCGAGCAGGGAGGCTCATGCGGGGCTCGATCCCAGCACTCTGAGATCATGACCCGAGTCGAAGGCAGACGCTTAACCATCTGAGCCACCCAGGCGCCCCAAGACTCTTGAGGATTTTGAATGCTCATGCAGCAAGTACTTTCTTCAGCTTGTTCAGCAAAACTAAAAGGAGTATTGGTTTGTATCTGGTAGCCTGATATTTCCGTTTAGTTACATCCGTTAGTTGAGGGTGTTGGGATTTGTCTCCTTTCCCAGAAAACAGCTGAGGAAAAGAGATACATGATTAATTTTGTTGTTTTTAACTCCACCTTTAGTGATAAGAAAGATTGTATTTTGATCTTTAGAAAGGTAAGGTTTTACCCAGTCTAGCTCCTGAAAGGGTTAAAATATTAACACCATTTTAGGCCTTATTGTCATGATAAACTAGTACTGAGATTCCCCATTCCTCCAGAGTTCTCTGGTGTCTTGGAGTTTTTCATGGATAGGCGAAAATAATTGGAGATTATGCAGCACCTTGTTCTTACAAATTAGTTACCCTGGCCTTCAGTCATTTTGTGCTTTTCTAGGCTTTCTGGGCCTTCCCTTTGCCAAAAATTCATTAAAATAGGTGGGCAGCATGTTTTTGAGTTTCTACTTAGAGTGTCATTTTGTATCTTTCTAAGTTGATGAGTCTCATTCCTGTTAGTCTAGCAAACCTATGGTAAATTGAATTGTGGGTCCTGATTGCCTCTTGGACTTTTTTTTTAATGACAAATTGCTACTAGAGTGTAGTTAAGTTTAACACACAAAAGCTGTGGTGATAACTCCTCCCCATCTACTGCCATTACAGCTTGGCCCCTTAACTAGTTGGTTATGTGGAATTTAGTTGAATGGGGTCTCCTCAGCCAGTCATTAATGTTTATGGTGCTGCTCTGGTTTACAACTAGTTGTTTTTATTTTATTTATTTAAGGATTTTTATTTTGGAGACAGCATGAGTGGGAGGGACAGACGGGGAGGGAGAGATAGAACCTTAAGCAGGCTCCACGCAGTGTGGAACCTGAGTGGAGCCTGACTGGGGGGTGCAATCCCAGGACCCTGAGATCATGACCTGAGCTGAAACCAAGAGTCAGATGCTTAAGAGACTGCTACCCAGGCGCCCTGTGTTTTTTGGTTGTTTTTTAAAGATTTTATTTATTTGTGGAAGTTTGCAGGGACACTGTCCTCTTTCAGCTTGAATGAAGAGTGACCTACAATTTGTTACAGGAACAGTCTTGAACTTTTAATAATATTACAAGTCCAAATTTACTAATTCTTCCGGACTGAAGTTTATACTAGATGGTTGACTTCATTTTTTTCCTTGTTTTCTACACCCCAGAAGTGTGACTTAATCAGAGCTGCCCAAACCTTAGTTCTGGATCAGTAACTTGTACACTGTGTCTTAGGATCCTTATTTGTGAATACTACTTTGGCAGGTCATAATCTCACTTTTTTTTTTTTTTTTTTGGCTGTGAGGAAAAAATGGCTAGAGGAGAATTTTCTACACTTTGAGATTCTCATTTGGTGAGACCTAACCATCTAATACAGAGCTTTACTTTAAAGCAGGATTTCTCAACCTAAATACTGTGGACATTTTTTGCTTGATAATTTTTTGTTGTGGTGTACTGTCCTGTGCATTGTAGGGTGTTCATCAGTATTCCTGGCCTCTATTAGGTGATCGCTCCCTTCCCTCCAGTAGTGAGAGTAAAATTATGCATTGTCAAAGGTCCCTTGAGAATCACTTGGTAACTTTTCTCCCTAAAATGTGTAGTATGTGTGGGTCAGGTTGTATTACAGAGGTTAATATTTAGTAAGCCCATTTCAAATTTTGTCAGGTCTAGGATTGATAAATCCTGAGGAAATAATATGCTGTATAAAAACATAAGCATTATTGATCATCTTTGGAATTAGCTTTCTTACCAGTATTGAGGAACCATATCAAAAGATGGTAAAAAAGGTGGTTTTCTTCAGGTTCTGGGCAGTTGAAGGTTACAGGGGCAGCTCTGTTTACCATGGTGGAGTTCAATGCCACTTCGGAAACCTGAGGCTGCTGAGGCTCTGACACAGCACTTGCAGAGCGTTGTGGGCCGAGATGCAAGCTCACTGAGAAGTGTGCTGTGGGTAGAACTGTTGTAAAATCCTGCTTTTTGAACATCTTGCTTTGTCAGGGCCTGAGTGCTTGAGGAAATTAGGCAAGAGTAGTTCTTTAGGTTAGTACTCCGAATGCTTCAAATAGCCAGTGGTGAAAGGCTCATGCAGTGAAGTTAGGCAGTATTTAAGGAAACGACCTAACTTATAATGAACCGGGTTCTTTTGAGGAAAGTATTTCAGAGCTTTGTAAAATTCTGCCTTTACTTTTTGAAACGGCAGGAAGACAGCTGCAGGACATCTTGTCTCACATGAATGTGGCAAACTTTCACAAGTATAAATTGAAGTTTGTCTGCATGATCTAGCTTTCCAAAAAGCTATTTCTTTACCTCTTTACACCTATTTATAATTGGCCAATGAGTTAACTCTTAAAAAGAGATCTTCCCCCAAAAGAGGAATGTGGAAATCATCAGCTGTTTCACACCCCAAATGCAAACCATAAATACCACAGGGGGGAGTGTGTAAGTTGTAGTTGGAGGAGCAGAGAAATGACTGAACTTCACTTTAGAAATTGTGTCCTTGGCTTGATTCCCTCCTGCTTTTCCTTTCACAAATTTGGTGTAATTTTTTAAAGTACTACTATGGTCTGGAGAGAAAGGGTAATTTTCTCAAGATAATTGCTTATGTTAACCTGCGCTGTGCGTTTTCTGCCCGAAGAGTTTACGGTTTACTTGTTTTGGTGGGGCAGACTCAAAAGTTTTCATCTAGTCCATGTAAATCGTGAAGAGTACAAATGCAGATGTCACCAACTTCAAGGCTTTCACTTGACCTTTCACGGAGAGCACTACAAAGCTTGAACATTGTGTTGATGGATACAGAGAGCTGGTAAATGATAAAATTTTTT